AAAAAATTGGAATCATAATGCATGCATATGAAGGAGTAAATTTCTATAATTATAAGGTTTTACTTGAAAAAATAAAATAAAATATATAATTTTCTAAATAAAAATTTATTATTTTGATAATTTGTATTATTAAAATTATAAAAAATAATTCTCCACAAGTTAATTTCATATACCAAAAATTTAATAGGATTTTTTGCCCATATTAATTTAATTACTTAATATTTGAGTGAAAGGATTGATTAGAACTGTGTCCCACCTCAAATAATTAAAATAGTTTTTTTATTACAAAATGGGATTTCACGGATTTGCATTTTGGACTAAAGAAAGAAACTGTACAGAGCAATAAAGATATCTGCTGATAAATCGAAAATTGACGAAGCCAAGATTTGTAAATTGACCAGCGCCAGCCATACAGTACAGGCACCCAAGTTAAAGTACTTATTGACAGGACAATAAATTTTTTGCCTATTTTAGGCCTCGTGGTTTTTTCCCTTTTTAGGGTTTTCCACGTAAAAAATCTTGTGTTCTCTGTGTGTGCTAGTTATACGTACAACGCTAAGACGTAGAATCAAATCTCTATCGCCGCGTAATTTCTAGCCCGCAACAAGTTACATATAAAAATATGACTAGCCCAAAATTATTTTGCTGGCATATATTTTGCATAAACTATGATAATCATATTTTATCTTAATAAAATAATAATTTAAAATGTACTTCATAATAAATAATAATAATAATAATATGTTTATACAAATACTTTTATTTAAATAAAACGAGAAACTCTCGAACTATTTTTTCCACAAATAGGTGGATTCATAAACAAATTGGAAGAGCATCATAATCATACATTGTTTGTTAAAAAAATAATTTAATAAATTCAGAAATATTAATAATTTTTTTTTGCTTTTACAAAATAATAAGAAAAATTCTATTTTACTGAATGGTAAAAATTAAAAGGTTTAAAATCCAATAGATATAAGATAGTTTCTACGAGGGTGTAATGAAATATCTCATGGAATCACGTGGTCTTATCGAGCTGTCCACATCTGCCAACTCACAGCCTTCCCAATAACAAACCGGTCAAATGCTGGTCAACGAACTCTTCTCCCTCTCCTTTCCTTAAATAAAACTCTCTCTCTCTCTCCCCCACTTTCTCTCTCTTATCAAACCTCTTATTCTCTCTCTATCTCTATACTAAGAGTAAGAGCAGCAGCTGGAGACCTCACGGCTTTGCTCTCTGCCCTTTTCTCTCTTTTCGTCAATTTTATTATAATTCCCACAATATTTTTGTCATTTGCTATCACTTGGAAGCTTGGGTCCCATGCATGACATGACCTGGCCCCACCATAGTCATCCATGCCATGAACATGCATGAGTGGATGCATGTATGGTCATACATGCATGGTGTGATGATATACATCAATATGTACGTTTGATATTGAAGGAGAAGTAGGTAGATTATTGATGGTAAGGAAGGAAGGACATATTATGAGCGCCATGTGGTAGATGTGAAGTTTAAGAAAAGTAAAAGAGATGAGTAAATAAAACAGTGAATCCTTCCCCCAAAAAAAAATATAATGAACCTCATATTTTTTAATATATATTTTAGAATTTTTTTTCCATTTTGGCCAACAAATTTATATAAATAGATTTTTTTATTAATTTTATGATGTGGTTTTTTTTTTATGTTATTATTAACAATGAGCTAGAGATGAGGTGTTGGTTTTTCTTTTTAGTTAAGACTTATTTATCTAAATAACTTTTGAGAAGCTTCTAGATTGTTGAAATTAAGAGAACTAATTATCTCTAATTTATGGTATCTCTCACATGTGTGTCTATTAAGTTTTAATTTTTTTAATGATGTGATTATGCATTCATAATTAATTTGATGTTTTTATAAATATAATATAATATCTTGATAATATAAGTTTGCCTTTTTGAAGAAAGATAATTAATATTTAGTCATATTATTTACAAAACATTATCACATAAATATATTATTATGCAAATAATTGTCATATTTTTATCATAAATGACAATTAAATAAAAAGATTATTTATTTTATTTATAAATTTAGGAAAATGTAATGAATATATATATAGTAATCAATTTTTTTGTTAATGCATGAAAATGGCTATATTTTGTTATCCGAATATAAAATTGATTTTTTTCCCCTAATTCTTAGAAGAGAAATTAATGGCAAGTAAAATAATTAAAAATCTACTAATAGCCACATAGATGTGTGTATAATTTTAGGCTTCTTAGGAGATTAATTAATGCCAAATAAAATGTCTCAAGGAAAACTCATCACTTTCCGTAACGGATATGAACTAATGAAAACTCTGTTATTTCTCTAGATGACGAAGAGATTGATCGTTGCATCTCCAATAGAAGGGGTTTATTATAACCTCCATTGTTGCACAAAGGTTTCATCTTTCATGACTACATCGTCAGGCAATCACAAGGTGCTATTTGTCGTCTACCTCATTGCATGAAAAAATATGTGTTCGTCATTAACAATATATGGGCATTAAAAATCTGAATACGATTATTAACAAGTTTGATCTAATTATAATAACTACAACATTTATTCAAAATAATTTTCATTACTATTATTTCAATTTATCTAACTACTACAATAAAGTGCATTTAAATCTTTTACAATTTATTATAATAATCAAATTAATTACTAATTTAAATCTTGAGAATGGTATAATAATCATTTAAGATAATTCTTTGAGAGTTAAAGCATGCATGCATCAAATCATGGATCTATACTTAATTTCTGCACAATGTTATCATAATTAAACATAAAGATGAAGGTCATTCATTTTATTTGGACCACTTAATAGAGAATAAAATATTTTTATTTTAACAATTGTAAAATTGAATCATAAATATATTTTTTTTAACATTAGAGTTAAGCTTTCTCTTTCATCATTATTGAAAATTTAGTAATTTATAATAATTTTCATCACATTTTTTGCATCCTTAATGTCTCATCCAACATGACATGTGAATTAATTGAAGCCCTACATATGATCACTCCAAATAATTTATGAGATCTACAACAGATGTTGACACTTGAAACTAGCCAACTTTAATAGCTTGTGAATTTATGCATCATTTTTTAAAGGAATTGTGATAGCCATAACATTATAAATTGAAATTAAAGAGAGTATTTTATACACAAAATACATTACAAAGAAAGTCATAGCATAAGGGAGAAAATGAAAACATAAAAAATAGACTGAAAGAAAAAAATAGTTGGTACGTTGCTAGATCATAGATAGGAAGGAGAAAGAAAAGGAGCTTAAATTATTTCTAGAACAAAATGATAGTCAATTTCAATATATTTGATGTGTTCATGGATGACATGATTTTCGACAATGCGAATAATAGCTTGATTATCATGATGAATTTTAAATTTTTGTGAATTATTAATGCCAAGGTCAAAGAAAATTAATATATTTTAACCAGTGCGACTTAGAAATAAGAGTAAAAATATAATATTTTATAGAAGAAAAAAAAGTGGTTACTTATTTTCTTAGTTAAGAAATTCTACCAGAGTTGACTATGATAAAATAATTGTTAGTGTAGTGAATAAAAGCCTGCATATCAATTGAAGTAAGAGAACTAAAGGTAGAAAGAAATAAACCTTTGCTAGCATTACCTTTAAGATCATGAAAAACTCGATTAATTGACTACATTAAGATGATTGGAATATAGAAATTGCATTAAATTCTTGAGAATGTTTGTGGAAGATTTACCTTTCAATAATGTACAAACAGTAGGAGTTCAGTGAGTAAAGGGTCGATCGTTCAAAAATTGCGAAGAACCTTAAGAACCCTATATAATGAAAAGAAAAAAGAGGTGCGCGAATATGTTTGAATATGAGCCAAGACGAAGAAGAAAGAGGCGAAAAGATTGAAAGCCATTAGAAGAATTGCCTGATGCAACAGTCATGATTTTCGATGTAGTGTCAATGATCAGCTTGGAATGGTAGACAAAGAAAACGCACACCGAGCACAGATATTCGACAAAGGAGGCGAATAAATTTGAATATGCGCTAGATGAAAGAACAAGAAGCGGGCACGAAAATGCCCCTCTTAGCGCCAAATCGCTCTGTTAGGGCCAAATCGTCATGTTAGCACGAAATTAGAATTGGCCCTAAAAAATATTTTTTTAAGGCACTTAAATAAACATGCCTTAATATATATATGTCATTAAAAATTAACTTTTTTGTAGTATAGTTCAAACAAAAAAGGGAGTAAGAAATAAAAATTGCTCCATAAGAAAATCCTATGGTCTAGAACAAGACGTATCCTAATAAAATAATATGTCAAATACATTTTATTTTATAAAGAAAATTTCACTAATTGAACCAAAATACCTCAACACCTAAAAATATAAAAAATGCTAAGAGATTTTACAAAAAGAATAAGCAATAAATCATTTGATGATATAGATGATGTCATTATATTGAATCATAGTATCATTGACATAGACAATAATAAAGATAAAAGCATAGTCATAAATATTGGTAATAATAACTTAGATGAAAATATGTACTCAATGAATAAGAGTTGCTAAATTTTAGATAACCAGTGATGAGCAGCCTGTTTAAGAACATACATAGATTTACTTAATTAATTAACATATATGAGTCACCTATTTATAGAGAAATTATTCAGTGCGGACTCCGAATGTCATCCAGAGACTAATCAGAATGTGCCACATCAACTTTTGCCCAATACCTAGCTCAGCACTACTCGGTACTACTGCTGTGGCACATTCTGATTGATCCCTACACAGAATAATTTCTCCTGTTATTTCATATCAAAATCTTCATATATATCCCATTACATAACATTCAGCACATACATGATACATCATGACATGCATGTCCATAATCACATACCATGCCTGATTCCGTTCCCTCCTTCAAACCCACTTTCTCCTCCCATATATAAATACTCTAACCTATAACCCCTAAGGTAGTGGAGGCCACACCAAAAGCACGCAATACCATTCCCCTCATCCCGCTCTCATATACTCCCCCCATCTCTCCCTTTCCTATGGCATGCATCAACATGTTCAACGACCACCAAGCCGCCGGCTTTTGCGGCGCACCGCCGCCGATCAGCCCTCGCATCTCTTTCTCCAATGACTTCGCCGTCGAGCCGCCGCCACCTCCGCAGCAGAGAAGCGCTGCACCACCCGACACGAACTTTGAGTTTGCGGTCGGCGGCAGGCCGATGATCGCCGCCGACGAGCTTTTCTTTAAAGGGCGGATGCTGCCTCTTCGCGACACGTGTCCGGCTCCGGGAGCGGCGACTGGGAGGGTCACAACTCTCCGCGACGAGCTCCGCGGCGAAGGGGACGAATGGTCTCGTCCGCCCAAAGGGTCGCCGAGGTGGAAGGAGTTTTTGGGTTTCAGGCGGGCCTATTGTGGGTCGTCGGGTCGCAAGAGTGATAAGGGTGACCAACGGTCTTTTTCCGCCGGAGGAGAGTCGACGGCAGGACCAACGGGGAAGTTTGCTCAGGTGAGAGTAAGATAGATTAATTATATATAAATCTATGTTACATGAAATAAACGACAATGACATCAAAATTAATTTTGTTTTTAAGATCAACAGCTTCATTTTTAACATACAAATTTGGAAAGTCAATAAACAAAATAAATACTTTATTGATTTAGATGCATCCCTTCTTTTCTTCTCTGAAAAATATGGCATACATTCAATAAATCTTCATTGCCTTTTTTCTGTAAAGCTTTTGAGCAATAAAAGAAGAGACTGATTGTAGCAATGCCACTAATATCAAAAAAATATTTTCAGAAAAAAAACTTTTTTTTTGAGATTTTTTAGAGTAAATCGAATTAATGAGTGGTTTTGTGTGTGTAGGAAGTGAAGGGAAACGGTGGAGCGAGAGCAAGTGATGAGGATGAAGATCAGATAGATCAGCTACAATACTGAAGCTGGTTCCATACATGCAGTACGTATATGGAAGAAATGGAGCTTCTTCTTCTTCTTCTTCTTACTGTTCTTCCTGTGAAGAGGAAATGGAGAAATTGTCTGTTGACCAAAGAAGAGCTTTCTTTTTCATTTCACCTTTTTCCGCCTTCTCTTTGGATTTCGCGGCCATGGATGGATGAGAAGGCTTTTGGTGTGATGTTTGGGATGAACAGATTTAACTCTCACTGATCTGTATCTTCAGAGCGCTAGCACTCAAATTATATGTTAATTTTCCAAACTTTCAGGTTTTTTTTTCTTTGTTTTTTTGCTAGGAAGAGTGGAAGAAAATTTGGTGGTGTTCAGCTGTCATGGCTTGTTTTGTTCTTCTGTATTTTTTTGAATTTAATTTTCTTTTCTGTACAAAAGTGTGATGAGTTTTGAATCAATACAGATCTGTGAGGCCCTGTGTTTATTTGCTTGGATCTTGCAGATTTCTGTTTGGGCGCTTTTGGGTGCTTAGCAGTACTACTTTTGTCTCTACAGAGCTCTAAGCTGAATCCAGAAATAAGAAGAGAGAGATGACCTCAATAATATGATTCTCTATTATGTATATTAATGCATGCATCCTCTGTGTATTTAGCTGTCACTGTTTCTTCGGAGTTATTATACATTTATATAAAAATTACATATATATCCGATCCTACAGTAGGTGCAAAATATTTTATTTTTCACGGTCAAATTGCCCTGATGAATTTTGATTTTCCATTATTCTCTCACTTTGAGAAATTAAATTGAGTGTAATATTATAAATAAATATATTTTGGTTGTAAGATATTAATTTTAAATGTGAAAGGTAAGTTTTTTTTTTTTTTTAAACAAAAGGAAATATATTAAAATCATCAACAAATGTTACAACAGCAAAGATAAACGCTAACATAATTAAAAAACTAAAAAACAAACAAAAAAAAAAAAATAGAAGCTAAAAGCGAGCTCAGCAGAAGTTCCAGGCTCCCAGCATCCAGGACGTCCCGCACGGACCGTCCAGAAAGGCGTAGCAAGCGTCCCAATAATCCATCCCGAAAATGCACACCTTCGGTTGCCATCAGCAAAACGACCCGGACGCGAGGCCCGACCACATCATTGCTCAAAGCCTCGCGAAGTCGCAAATCGAACAAAATATCGGGGAAGGGAGAATGGGCTGTGGTGCAGAAATGAGTGAATGGAAAACGACAAAACATTGGGGTGCGAACTGCAAACTGTGAAGGAGTAGGGGTCGGTTCTGCCCACTGATCGGAGCTTAGGAGATAAAAACGTAGAAATTATTACTTTCTTTCTTTCTCTCCCTGAAAAAGACTTCCACTCCTACATATGTACTTCCCCTCTTTACGGAACTGCGACATCCTATTAACCATAAGCTCCACAGCCAACAAACGTGGCGTAAGTGACTTCCTAGAAAAAGCGTAAGTGACTTACTCACTTCCTTTCCTCGACTTTTACGGCATTAGTTCATCGTCAAGCAATTATAATTTTTTCTGCATATTGATCATTAACATTTATAAAAAATGTTTATTTTTGAATGGTTTTTATTCACAAAAAAAAAAAATGCGAAAAAATAAAAAATTACTTTATTTTTAAATTTGATGCTGATTTAATCATTTTTATGAAAATATTAAAATATTTGATAATTATATATCTCGTTGAAAATTTAGAAAATAATTTAACTAGTAAAGTATATAAAACGGTCATTATATTCTTAATAACGCGTGTAATGTTATTTGTAAAATAGGAGTGAAATAATAATTTTATTAATTTCTATTCGTGAAAGTTAATAAATGTGATATTTTTTATTTTATTTTTTATTTGACTCTTGAGAAACGATATAAACTTTTTTTTTGTTGGAATTGCGAGATAAAAAAGAAATGTATTATAATAAAAAGAATTACACTAATGACCTATGAAAGGAACAAAAAATAAAAGTTATATTTAAATAATTGGCTCCGTAAATAAAATTAAAGAAAGAAGTATATCATGATATTACCAACTAAAATCAAAATTCATAAATAAAAAGACTATTGAATTAGACCAAAAGAATTCCCCTTTCACGATTAAGGCTTCGTTTGGGATGATTGTCTTTCTGCTTCTTAAAGAAGTTTCTTAGTACAAAAAATTTAATTTTTGTACTATAAAACGGCTTCAAGAAGCAATAAGAAAGCTGTTTCAAACGAAGCCTAAGTGATCAAAGCATAATAGCCCTCGAGTAGAATCCACTCGATAAAGACATCAAGCTAGAATGATTGAGCTCGATATCAAAGGGGAGTAAAAATAGTTAAGTTCTTCACCATTTTGAGGCTATGAAGAGGATCTGATTGAAGTCATGCTGTATGGATATCCAAAAAATAAATGACTGGAATTCTCTAAATCTTTATTGCATAAATAACATAGCAAATTATTTATTATTTTGAGGCCTCTAAGATATGTAATTCAATAATATATAAAATGTATTTTTATCTAATAACTATTAAGCCATATAATGTGGGGGTGTAAATGAGTCGAGTTTTGACACTATTGATCTCAGCTCATTAGTCGGAAAGTGAGCTCGAACTCGAGCACGTCCCACTATAAATGAGCTCGAGTCGACTCGCGAGCCCATAAACCAGTCCATTTATTATATAGTTTTTAAATATTTAAATTTTTATTAAATATTTTAAACATTTATTATATATAATTATTTTTTAAAATATTTAAATTTAATAAATAAAATAAACTTATTTTAAAAAGTATTAATAATTATTCGAGCCCATAAACCAGTCCAGTTCAAGCCGGCTTAAAAGCAGACTTGTCTCTCTTATACCCTTAATACCATGCAAACCTAGAGAACACTAGGACTAATTATTCTTAGGCTTCATCTTTTTTATTACTTTCTAAAATAATTTTTTTTATAAAATATTTCTACAGAAAAAAAATTTTGTGCTAAAAAATTAATTTAAAAATAATAAAAAAAGCTGTACTAAACCAAGCCTTAAAGTCTTAAAGAGACGTGCTTTTCCCTCATAATAGACAAAAAACTCTTTCGTATTCCATAGGATTAAGAGTACTAAGGGTAAAGCACCAAGAAATTGAAAAAGGAAAATAAAATTTTTGAAAAATATTTCTTTTTCCTATTTGTGGAAAAAAATTAAGCTGTAAAAAAATTCTATTTAAGAAGCCTTAATCGAAATTACGAGTAGAAATTGGACAGTTGGGCCGGGCTGTAATTCAGTCATACAAGGATTAAGGCCATGTTCACTGTTTTACCCAGTTTGGATGGAAAGCAAAAGTTGGGCCCAAAGTTGGAGCTGGGCAATCTGGGCCAGAAGTTTATGGCAAAGACGAATCGTTTGAACAATATGCAATTGAGTGATAATAGTCAGATGATTGTGGATGGATCATTGGGCGATAATGGTGAGATGATATTAGCTGTTAATCGACGAAAGTTGAATGATAGTAGATGTTAAAAGTAATCATTGACATCTAACGTCGGTAGAGCTCTAGAGATTTTTAGATCTCCAAGCTCTTTTCAACCCCGAATTAAGGTCTCTTTTATATAGACAATGAAATTTTATTTATAATTTTTGTAGTTGCATTCCTATAATTCTAACAAAAATTCTTAAAACTTTCTATTAAGTAGGCCATGCATGTTGATTCTCTCATTAACGACATATCATCGTTTTAATATTGAAGTATTTTAATGATCTCAAAACTCAGTGATCATATAGTTGTTGAATTTCTCTCATGGAACTACTCATTTTGAAAATGATCATTCATGCACAAAGCTCGCAAAGCACCTCATTTGCTTCTATACTCTCTACAGATCTCTGTATTATGTCTTCACTTTAATACTGCAATGGCTTACTCTGCTTCAAGTTCACTTTGATGATTCTCTCAGCCGCCACTCTCATCTAAATCGTACGTAAAATAAATAAATTTATATGATATTCATTATTCAATTGAAATAAAAATAATTTATATTCAATATATCAAATATATTTTTATTTCATGTGAAATGCAAATTAAAAAAAAAAATCAAGTTGCCCTTGCAAGAATGAATAATGGAGCTTCAATCTTTTTAATTATTAAAAATATAAAAAAATAATTATTCTACAATAAATGTTTTCATTTTTATGAAAAAAAATATAATTATGAAAAATACAACAATTAATCAGTTTTATGATTTCACATATTCTGATGAGTCAAAAAAATATTTTTTAACTAGTTTTTTTTAACCTTTTAATTGATTTTTTTTTCTAATAATGTGATAAATCGTGTTGGGACCCGTTAAGAGGAAGTGACGGGCTAGCCAACACGGAAAATGACTCGTTATCATGAATAATGAGCTGGTTCAGTACAACCACGACACGTGGTAGTACAATCGTAATAAACGGCTAGCGGTGAGCTCGGATAGGATAAGAATTCGACACGTGGCTTCTTTTTAACCATTGAAAAGTTCTGCAGGAAATATTGCAAAATATGCCGACACGGCATTAATCTGTATCTGTGTATTATCTTCCGCTTCATCCACTCACATAAATAAATAAAAAATTATCTAAAAATATTTTTATATAATTTATGTCAAAATAAAGTTAAGGTTTTTTCAGATTTATGCTGAGATTATTGCTCATATCTAATATTATAAACTACATTAATCTCAGCAAAAATTTAAAATTTTATATTAATATAAATTGTATCAAATATTTTTTGTTCTAACATTTAATGTTGAAGTTAATGGAAGATGATTAAAATTTTTGAAACTAAAATTATAATTATTATTAATTTCTTTTATTAAAGAAACATTTACTAAATTTTTAAGAAAAAAATATAATTACATGAAAATTATATTTAATAAATATTTAATTAGAAAGTGATTAAAACATTTCTATATTTAACACAATTAACTCAAACATTGAATGTTAAAAATATCTCATTTTAAAGAGTCGACGAATCAAATTGTCCTCTCAGAAGAGTTGAGACCATTTTAGACTTTTTTTCTTATTGCAAGATTAATTTGTCCAATGAGTATAGCATAATTTTTTTTTACTTAAACATTTTATTTCTCTTAAAATAAATCTGATAATTAGAAAATACATTTAATAAATTTAAGTCTTTACCTAATTTTGTATACAATTTGAATACTGATAGCTCATTTAAAATGATTTTTTGCGCACCCAAACTTTCCCCCTCTAATGGATCGTATGCTAGTGGGCCCATGAAATAATTGGTGGGCCACTTAGTTGGGTTGTATTTATTTTTTTTAGAGCAATAGTTTAAAAAGTATGTGATTTGAATTTATAATTTATAGACTTCATTTGAAAAGTTTTTTTTCTACTTTCTAAAATAATTTTCTAATTAGAAGTTTTCAAAGTTCAAAAATTATTTATGCTAGAATGCAGTTCTATAAAACAGTAAGAAAGCTATATCTCAAATGAAGTCAAAATCAACAAAAAAATTTCCGATGAAATTTTTTTCACATTAACCGGGGAGTTATCTTTTTCGCATAATATCTCATCCGACTGTCAATTTACGATCATTTTCTCAAACAAAAGATCATTTGAAGTATGAATATGATGTGGGCCCACTTCAAATTACAAGATAGGGTTGCTTTATTACTTGTGGCTAGTATAGATTAGAGTTAGTTCTTATCTGAAATATAAGCTCAAGCACTTAACTTAAATATCTAAGCATCTAATAGATAAATTTGACTTTATATGCCTCATAATACTTAAAATTAGCCAAATTTATCCTTTGATTTTCATGAAATAAATTATCTTTAAGTTGGCTTCATATCAAAATATCACTCAAAGCTTATACTTTTACTACATAAAAAATGATATTCTACCCTTCCACAAATCAGCTTTCTCCATTGTTATTATCATCCTTACGCTCAAGATTTCTTCGCTCAACAAGATAGGATGTCAGCATCGGTAGCACTCAATCGAAGAAAAAATATACATCAACGATTTCAACATATATAAATAACATTTTTTTAATATTTTAATATTTCTATCGTGAACTATTAGTTAGGTCATTTTGATGGGGTTGTAACAAAGACTTAGTTAGAACATCAAAGAGTGTTTTCACAATATCAAAAAAAAGTGCTCGAACAATGTTCGTTCATTGCTTGAATCTTGAACATGGTTCAATCTATGCTCGAATATGGTTTGAAGAAAATTTGAATCATGTTGGAACGTATATTTTAATAATGGTGAAGTTGTGAAGTTACTTGCTAACTAGCTATTTTTTAAAGATGAATAAAGTATCAATATTCTTGTATTGCACGCATGGAGGACAAAGAAAACAAAAACGGAAAAAATGAAGTGCATTAATTATGTATAGAAGTAAGGAATATTCGTTCAGAGAAATGTTCATGCATTAATTAAAATTTCCTCAAATATACTTTATATCATGATTTTAAAAATCAGATCAAATTGATAGGTTCGGCCATTTCAACCATGGACCAGTCATTCAATCAATTCAGTTAAATTCCAAAGACATAATATTTCGATTCGGCAATTGTTCTTCCATGTACTAATATTGATCAATTTATGGCTTTTGATTATATAATTAGATGGCTTGGAATAAAAGTTTAGAGAGAGAGAGATGTGTAAAAACATATTTGTTCACACAATTCATTATTTTATCTTTAAATACAATATAAAAACTAATGAAGTTGATCCAAACAAGCTCTAAACATGAAGATTTAACTATCAAAATAAATGTCCCAATGTACAGTGCATTGCACTCATTCACGTCCAAAGGCATTCGACGTCCGTACGTAATAACCTCTCATAGGAACAAACCCTAATTCTAATATAATGTTTTGCTTCTCAAACTTTCCACATAAAAAAATCATATGTGCTCTCTACTTGCTTTCTCTCTAGTCTGCCATCCTATGGAGACGAGATGTAGAACGTCATCTGAAGACCAACCAGAATACGCCACGAAAGCCGCTGTACCGAGCAGTATGGAGTCGCGATACCGAGTAAAGAAATGACGTGGCGCATCCTTGTTGATTTTGAAACGGCGTTTAACATCCGCACAGAATAATTAATCCTGTCTTTTAGTTGTTATTAGCGGTTAAGGAAATTAAACTTTTTATCTATAAATGCAACTTTCAACATGCTATACCATTTATTGTCAAATGAGGGAGAATCAACACAATCCTTATTCAAGCAACACATAACCTCAATATCTGTGCGAATTTATTTCTTCAATCGAAAAATTTATCACCTAAGCACATTATATTAATCAAGCAATCTATAGAAGATTAAACAAATCATTAGCAATAACAACACTCTGCTTCAACACTTAATTAGTCGTCTTCAACTGCAATGGAGTTCTTGCAGTGTACAATGGCAGCCTGAATAGCATTCTGTAGCTCCTCCGATGAGAAGTTAGTCGTCGGAGGCGTCCCAAGGAGGTCTCATTACTTAGATCATCCAATAGGGTGTCACATTTACATGTTTAGATGCACAATCAAATCAATTTATATTTTAATGAAATTTGGTATTAGCCCTTTTTTAATGAAATTTTGGATGAATAATCTTTGTTGGGAAGTTAAAAATTTTGTATAATTTTTGGCTAAATGAATGAATCTTAGAGCAATTTATATTTGTTAAACTAACAAATATTTCAAACTTTAAAGATAGATTGAGAGATCAAACAAGCTCTAAACATCAAGATTTAACTATCAAAATAAATGTCTCAATGTACAGTGCATTGCACTCATTCACGTCCGAAGTTATTCGACGTCCATACATAATAATCTCTCCTAAGAACAAACCCTAAATTCTACTAAAGTTTTGCTTCTCAAACTTTCCATATAAAAGAATCATATGTGATCTCTACTTGTTTACTATCTTTGGAGAAATTATTATGTGTGGAGACGAGATACAGAACTACATCTGGAGACCAATCAGAATGCGCCAAGCCAGCGGTACCGAGCAGTACAGAGTAACGATACCGAGTGAAGGGGGGACGTGACGCATTCTTATTGATTTTCGAACGGCGTTTAACGTCCACACAGAATAATTAATCATGTCTTTTAGTTGTTATTAGCGGTTAAGGCAATTAAACTTTTTATCTATAAATGCAACTTTCAACATGCTATTCCATTTATTGTCAAATGAGGGAGAATCAACACAATCCTTATTCAAGCAACACATAACCTCAATATCTGTGCGAATTTATTTCTTCAATCGAAAAATTTATCACCTAAGCATATTATATTAATCAAGCAATCTATAGAAGATTAAACAAATCATTAGCAATAACAACACTCTGCTTCAACACTTAATTAGTCGTCTTCAACTGCAATGGAGTTCTTGCAGTGTACAATGGCAGCCTGAATAGCATTCTGTAGCTCCTCCGATGAGAAGTTAGTCGTCGGAGGCGTCCCAAGGAGGCCGCTGTTTGCCGGCGATGTCCGAATGGACGGTGGCGCCGACAACCCTCCCTGACCGTGCCAGCCCCGCAGCCGACCGTCCCCGGAGAAGGAGAACTGAGAACTCCGCCTTATTTCCCTCTTTTCTTTCCAATAGTTCAGGAAGTGAAACGACTCAACCAAGCTTGTGTATTTCTTCCACAGGGAGCCGAAGCCGAAAACCTTCTTCTTTATCGTCTTCTTCCTCTGCTTTTCCTCAACTCTGTCTTCTCCGCCGTCTTTTCCTCTCAGCCATTTTCGGAGCCAAATTAAGGGGAAGGATTTGGAAAGGCTACGGCCATTGTAGTCTGAGGTAGAAACAGCGGCGGCGGCGGCGGTGTTGCTGGTCTCTCTGTAAGAATTTTGAGTTATAGCTACACTTGTTTTTTAATAATAAAGTTGAAAATTATTTTATTTTTTAATTGTTTTAAATATCAGTAAATTGTTTTTTAATTACACTTTTTCTATTAAATTATATAAAGATATTAGTTGCGAGACAAATAATATAATTAAATTATTCATTTGGCCACACTTTTTATAAAAATATAAATTATAAGCTATTTATTAAAAAAAATTTATATCAAGACATTATAAAAAAAATTCATCAGAATAGGCATATATATTAAAAAAAGTAACTTCAGTTTCTTAATTAAAATTTAAATATAATGAAGATAGATAATATAAAATATATAATACATCTTATGAATATATGATAAAATTAATTTTTAAACCATCATAATAAAGTTTAGTAAAAAAAAATTTATCCAATTTTTTCTTAATTTAATATTTGATGTGAAATACAACACAATTATTTATAAAATATATTTTTATTTAATATAAAATATAAGGCAGGTTTATGTAAATTGGAAGGTAATTTTAAAAAAATTTAAAGATGTTTTTTTTATTTTTACTTCAGATAATGTTCAAATAATTATTTTCTAGCTCAAATTATTTATAAATATTTCTCATTAATTTTTATTTTGAGCTTATGGCTATCTATTTAATATTTATATATCTCTTCTAATCATAAAATCAACAGCCATATTTCTTCAAAAAAATTTACTGCAATATCAAAATTATAATAAAATTTAAAATTCAATCATATTATAAAAAAAAGAGCAATTGAAGCTCAAATTGACACTAATGCTTACACATACTCTGCTCCGATTTGGCCGGGGGGATGGAAATCGGCGTTGTGTATGGAGATGTCGGAGGGGCGGTGAGAGACGAAGTGGAGGGGGAGGAGGTGGCCGTTGAAGAAGATGTCGTCGGCGGGGGAGAGGTCGAAGTCAAGAAGAGAAGAGGAAGACTTGCTGAGCTTAACAGCGGCAGCTGCGGCGCTGGTGGTGGCGGAGAAGGTTTTGGGAGCGTGAAAAGAGATTGTGAAAGAGAACTCGTGGGATGGGGAGGAGGACAAGGAAGGAGAAGGAGGAGGAGGACGTGGAGGAGGAGGTGACCATGGCGGTGATTCCGCCGCCGCCGACGGTGACGTTGGAGCTGTTTCCGACTTCGCTGCTTTCTTTGTGTTTTCCGTGGCCATTGATGTAAGGGGCTCTATTGAAAATGAATATAAGGAGGCATTAAAAAAAACGGCTCAGAATAATTTTTATTTTTTCCTTAATTTTCAGAAATTCTTATGGGATTATAAATTTTTGTTATCATGTAAGATATTAATTATGATAGCTATTTTTATAAATAAAAAATAAAAATTATTATGAAAATCGCGTTGGATCTACTGAATAATTGTATTATCATATTGAAAAATAAAAAAAATTTATTTTAAAATGATGAATTTTAAGATGTTCGAATTATTTTTAAATGAGTATTAAATATTTGTTGAATTATATTATTTTATTGTATAAATTGCTCGATATTTTTTATAATATTTGAAATTTATATTGCAAAGCCAATATCATAATATTATTTTTATATTAAATATTATTAATATTTTATTTATTCATGTATCAGGTACTCTGGTGTTCAAACGATTTTTGTCAATACATTTGTGATCAGTTAAATTGCATGAAATTTTTTCATGCTTCAAAGTTTAAACTAAGACTTCGTGTGGGACGGCTTTCTTCCTGCTTCTTAAAGCGGCTTTCTAGTTAAAAAGTTAAAATTTTTATACAAAAAAGTCTCTTTAAGAAGCAGTAAGAAAGCCATCCCAAACGAAGCCTAATTTAGAAAGATAATAAGGACCATGTCAAATTTTTTTATCTAGATTAAGGACTTCGATTGAGATAACGTTTTACTGCTTTGTAAAGTTATTGTTAAAAAGTAGTATTTTACTACAACCATTTTTTTTTTTGAAAATAATGAAAAAATAATGGCCAAATAGAAATTGTGATTATAATCTAAAAAGAAAAGTCATAAAAAAGATGTCCCAAATGAGACCTGAGTTACCCATAAGTTTATAAGAGGATTACTTAATTGAGTTAGTTCAATAAAATCTTCTTCTAAATGCATAAAAATACTTAGAAAATATGAGAAGTTTATAGATTTCAAAAATTTACATTCTACTCATCTCTATTAGAAATTCAAACACTCCATAATATTATATATTTTTTTACTTTAATGAACTTTGAATTGAATGATTATAATTTTATCGGGCTCGTTAATAGTAGACACTCATTTTGATTATGACTTTGGGTGATCAAGTCATTAATAAAAGTATACGTTTTAGATATATCAGGTATATTATTCAGAGTGATGAGCATTGAGCCTGTTGTGTGACAAAAAAGTACCCCTCAAGTTTAAGGAAAAGTTTTATAACCTATTGATGAGATCTACAATGCTTTATGGCGCAAAATGTTAGCCATAAAAAAGAAGCATAAAATTAAAATAAGGTTTGCAGAGATAAGATTAGAGAGAATCACCTTAGATGATTTGGTCACATAAAACGTCCGTTGATGATTCGATTAGGAGAGTATATGTATTAGATTTGACCTACCTTAAGAAAGGTAGAGGTAGACCAAAAAAAACTTAGGTTGGAAAATATTTGAAATGATATTTTTTTAATTAGATTTGACCTATGTTTTTGTTTAGTGATTGATTTGGATCTTTCTGAACTCTAATAAAATTATTCTTATCATCATCAAAATATATTGAAATTAAATTCAGATGATATTATCATAATTAAATCCTAAAGTTTCTGATCCGACATCAACACAGACTACCACTCAATTTTTTTTTTGCTTTGGAAAAGTTGTGTTAAATTCTAATCGGGAATTGAATGTGCCAAATTTAATTTGAAAATGTCAATCAATCATAAGGAATTTGAGAACAACCATTCCAATGTGATTTGTGTATTGACAATTACATTGAAGTATTGGACATATCAAGTGGGCCTTTTTTATAGGTATACATTACAGTCTTTCATTTTCATAGAGTATTCCTAAAGCTTGATTTAGGCTTCGTTTGGGACAGCTTTTTTATTGCTTCTTAAAGTAATATTTTAGTACAAAAATTAAAATTTATGTACTAAAAAGCTACTTTAAGAAGAAGTAAGAAAGTCATCCCAAACGAAGCCTTAAACATTGCAAATATGAACTGTTGGAGAAAAAAACATGGAGCTTAAAGAATCAATTATGGAATTCAAAAAAAGAAACAAGATTTCATTTGAAATAGTTTTTTTTTACGGCTTTTTAAAGTAATTTTTTATTACAAAAATTTTGCAAACTAATTTTTTTTTACTAAAAAACTGCTTGAGAAGAGCAATTATTATGTGCGGACGTCGAATGCAGTTCATCATCCGGAGACCAACTAGAATGCATCACGTTAGCGGTATCGTGCAAGGGTGATGTGGCGTATTTTGGTTGGTCTCCGAACAGCGTTCGACGTCCGCACAGAATAATTTCTTGCTTGTTGTTGGAGAAAGAAGTAAGAAAGATCGAAACGGTTCAAAATTGCCAGCCTAGGTCATGAAATTTTGTTTAAATTTTCATCATAATTATATATAATTATTGTTTGCTCTATCATGTGAATTACTTCTTCTATTTCTATAAAAATTTCTCAAGAGGCTGGGGGTTCAAACTAATTTGTTAGATATACTTAGACTTATTCATGTCCAAAGTTCCCACAAGTTCTTCAGCGCCCGCTTAATATTAAGGAGAAAAGCAGTAGGTACATTTCTATCTCTGAGTTTATCTTCTTCTTTGATAAAGCTTCCTATATAAATGCTAATAGTGATTGTGCTTCTTTATTAGAATTTGTTCTTTATATTAATAACAAGAGAAAGATATGATAAGATTAAGACTTTGTTTGAGACAGTTTTCTTTCTGCTTCTTAAAACAACTTTTTAGTACAAAAAATAAAAATTTTCTACTAGAAAGCTACTTTAAGTAGTAAGAAAACCGTCCCAAATGAAGCCTAAATATACTTTGTTAGTGACTTCTTGTTAGGAATTTGATTGTTTTTTAGGATGACGATGATCTTTCGAGTAATTTTTAAAAGTATTATTATCGAAAAATTATGTTGAAGATTACATTTATGGAATTTAACTATACTTTTAATTTCTTTCTTTAACTTACTGTTATCTCTTTTGATACAACAACAAAACAACAAAATCAATCATTTATCCCATTATATGGGATCAGTTACAAGAACTATTTTTTCTTTATTGTGTCTTATTAAGAGTCAAATTTTAATTTAAATATAACAATGAAAGGACTTTTCAAGCCTACATCTATCTTTCTTAACATAGGCCAAATATAATACAACTATTCTCCTAACCGGGTCATCAGAAAGCCGGCATTTTATGCGTTCAAACCATCTAAGGCGACTCTCTAATCTTATCTGCCAATGGAGCTACTCCAACCTTTTGTTATTAGATTATTTCATCAGCTACATTCATAAAAAAAATTATTAGTTGCCTAAGTAGATTCTATTTCCTGAAGCTATTTGGCAAGATATACAGCAAATAGTCTCTTATGTCTTAATTAGAATGTTAATATACAAAAATACTTTAACAAAATCATAATCAAACATTGATACTTAACTATAACCACAAGCAATAAATGAATATTTCATAATTTTTTTGTCTAACACCTCATTAAACTACAAATATGTACATTCAAAACATAAATAAGCCAAGTTATCAACTACTTACAACCTTCATCTTTCAAATTTGCTCAGGCAAATAAATGAACATGAAGTAGCTACATCAAAACTGATCATTAATTTTCTTCACATCACATTTACATACAAATCTGAAGTCATTTGATCATACAATATGTTGGATCCCTCTATTTCACATTGCAATGCTAATTACATTCAGTTCTGTGTTTAATAAAACCAAACAAATTTGCAAAACTAGCACAAGCTATAAAGAAATATATTGGTAACAAACACTATAAAAAGCTAAACATCAATTGGAGCAATCTCAACTGAGGATGCTGACCTGTTGAATTGAATTTTTGTGGAGGCTGAGACTTCCTTTTCTTGACAGTATGTAATAAGACTCTTCACCACATGTCTGTATTTTCTTCTGTAAGTTGGAAATTTTGTAATAGTTCTGCTCATGCCTACCAACCTACCCAAATTGGATAATTTCATTGAAGAAAGATATGTTAGTATCATCTCCATTGATATGCTCAGTAGAAAGGAAGAAGAAGCATATAGCTTAGAAGATTAAGAAGATAATGAAAGCCTCAGGAATTGAGAAAAAAAAATTAAAACTAAAATCAAAGGTTTTGTGTTCATAAAAAACTTATAAATTATTGAGATCTTATTTGATATCTTTCACATTTACTCAAAACTAAGACTTTGTTTGCTACGGTTTTTTTGCTGCTTTTTAAAGCAGCTTTTCATTATAAAAATTATATTATTTGTACTAGATAGCTGTTTTAAGAAGTAGCAAGAAAGCCGTCCCAAACACTGCCTAAAACATCCTTTGTCTGCCAGAAATGTCTTTGTTATCAGGAGTTTCTCTGAGCTAACTTAAGAATAAATTCTTTAGAAACCAGTTAGGGAATGCGTAATTTGATAGCAAGCGAACATACAAAGTTCTCGACAGACACTGCAAATCATCTGTAAATGATAAAGGAAGGTGGAAGACTCTGATTGCAAAGGAATATATCATTTCAAAGATCTATATGTAATGAGTCCACTGAAATTGCCAAATTAAAAATACAAAGGTTGGATCACCTAGAATAATTTTGAGAAGTATCATGGGTTGAAATTATGGTCGGTGATGATAGAGCATAATCTTGGTATCAACTCTCTCCCGTTGAACAAGCAACCAATAGGTTAAACAATATTCTTAGATGAACTATGCACACTCCAAGACAAATTGTTGAGATCATACACTTCTACATAATCGCTCATGGCATGGACAGGGCTGGGATGGTTTTCGAATGATCTCCCTTACTGCAAATAAGGCAATGGTGGCGATGGCCAACAATGATGGCATGGAGGTTTTGTTTTAGGTGATGGAGAGGAGAGTAGATAAGATAGATGGAGAGATGGATCTAAGGAGTATAATTTGGCTATCAAAGACTTGTGCGGACTCATCTAGACTTGGAATTGCATGTTGGAATCATCTCAATGAGACGAATATTTAGACTATAATCACATAAAAATCGAATTCCATTTGACCTTTTAAATAAAATTTGGATGTTTTAATCTTCCTTTTGCGGGCTTTGCTTGATGTCATTTGAATTCAGATCCAGTTTCTCAGTGTCATTGGGAACTCTGGGCAATAATTAGAATTGCATGTGAGAGGAGCCAAAAGAGCAAACCCAAAATTTACAAATAGGTTGGGGAGGGCGCAAACTTTTATAATATACATAATTAGAGAATTTCAGGATAAAAATTTCAAATTATACATTATATATGATTTACCTAAATCTTAGGGTCTAGAGCCATCTCTAACCCCCTTGATTCCACCATTGGTTGAAATTGTCTCAATAAGCCAGTGATTTTGATTATAAGCATGAAAAATAGAGCCTGAATGACTGAAAAAATTGTGGAAGTTTTCTGTTATTTGACCATTTTGAAGTTTGAAAATTGCATCATTATTCGTGTTGAATATAACAGAATTTTGAGAGATGTATCATGTGATTATGCATGTGCACATGTGAAAGAGAATTGTATATGAATGGGAGGCTTGTGAACTTAAGAAGATTAATGAATTTTCACATCTTATCTCACAAATGAGTAAGAAACTTCATACCTCCGGCTAATAGCCTGCATTTGAGCATTCTTTAGAGCATCTTGGGGAACAACAGACCCATTCTCCCAGGACTGCATGCTCATATTATCACCATTAAAAAGAACCAACTTCTCCAAGAACCTCACCTCCTCCACCTCCAATTTTATGACCTTGATTTGCTCTTTAAGTACCATCACAGGGTGGAAAAACCAATCTAACAGCCGATCATGAGGTCTGTTCAGGTGGTTGACTTCAATGCCATTACTCAGAAGTAGTCCATTGGAACCAGCCTCAATGGAATAGAGCATAAAGTGCAAGAATGCATAAGAAGGCAAACCTAAGCCAACAATATCTTGTTTGGCTTCCTTTGTCCTCAGCCATTCAGTTAGCTCATCTTCAGTGACTATATTTGCATCAAGAAGTTCTTTGCCTCGCAGTTCTATGGACTCCATCCACTCCTCCCATATCTGTTAATTAAAATTTGGAAACTTCTCAATTATAAACAGGAACAACAGGATGATATTGAGCACTTTTTTTTTGCTCAAAAAGATGATATTCAGAAGGAACGTTTTAGTTCACAACATAAAGAGTAAGATTCAACACTTTCAGCCATCCATAAAACATGCAACAAGGGATAAAATATATCTATATCTATATATATATATATATAATATATATATTTTTTAAAAAGGGGTGTTTCTTAAAGTTAAATACCGGAAATGAGGCAATACAATAAATGAACATAAATGTGAATTTCAATGCAAAATAACCACAAAAAAAAGAGTAGCATAGCATACACATACAAATGCCATTGTTCTCATTGAATAATATCCCTTAAAAGTTATGGTTAGTAAGTATTAAATGGTTTCCTCCCAGCCAAGGGTTTAGAAAGATTGAGTTTATTAACATGAAAAGGGGAACTATGTTTTAAGACGATAATTGCTGAGAAGAAAGTAACAGATTTGTTGGCTTTTTACAAATCTCTGAAGCACTCAAATTGGAGTGCCTGTTTTCCTTTTTATTCTTCATACATGCAAACTATAGGAAATTTTCACAATTTAATGCAGCACCTTGGTAAGTAAATTTTTACCTGATTCAAGTAGTTCATGCCATTTGAAAGCAGAAGTTAATGTCACCTTTCTCAGAGGTGTCCATTGAATTTTTCCGTGTGAACCAGATTTCCATTTCCATGTCTACATGCACCGTAATTTAGATCTTGGAATGCTGTGGTGAAGCTACTTCGTTTCAATATTAGAGTTAGGATGCGGCTGGAATTGAGCTCCTGCAGTGAGTTTTACTGATCTCACTGTGGGCCTGTATCATCCAGATGGTTTCTAGCTTCTTTCACCTCCCTTAGTTGTGAATTGCCTGTGGTTACTGTAGGTAGCCACATGATTCTTATAGGAGTTCATATAGCTATAAATCGCTCCATCTATTCTAGTAGACAAACCACTGATATTTCACCTGATTTCATAATAGGGTTGCTGCTATTGTGCGTGATAGGTTCTAACATTCATTTACAGAGCATGCTTCATGGTTTTGCAGTTGGTGGTGGCCAAAGCTTAGACCGGTTTCGAAATTCTGTTATATGTGTGCTTTATCTATATCTTAAGACGAACTAAATTGGTCGCAAATAAGGTTTGATGCTTATTAATATTAAAATCTAGGGTTTGAAATAAGATCTTTTTCTTACTTGATAAAATCTTCATTTATATTCAATCTTGTGTGCTTGGTTGAATTTTGATTCTTTCAAGGGTAATGCTAGTAGGCCTTTCAGGAAAATTTCCTCCTTGTACTAGTATGCACATAGGTGAATTCTCGTCATTTCCCTTATGCTACAACCCGAGCAATGTGGGTGCTCTTTCCTAATAATTTCGAAGTTTCGGATGTATGACATTTGAGCAATCTCACACAATGTCACTTTTTAGTCCATCATTTTCGATATCATTTGTTCATAGGTTCTTTTATAGTGATTTTGATGTTCTGAATGCAATAGCACGGTCCATTTCATGAAATAAGCAATTTCGCATGACATCGTGTTCATCGTGATTGGTTGGTTCAATTTCGTAGTGATATCAAGGTCAACATAAATCAATAATATCTATTATAGTTAATGAACAAATCAAGCAATCTAATAATGCTACTATTTATAAATTACTTCTTTTTTTTTAACTATTTACAAATTACTAACTCCTGATGAATGATCCAATTGAGTTTGATTTTGTTTTGGTTCCTGGTTTCTTAATATACCAATCCAAAAAAAGAACTTCAAGAAGAGAGTTAAATTGCAACAAATTTCAAGAAATTCATTATTGATAATTGCCTCAAAAAAAGAAACTTGAAATTTAAAACTCGTCCATTTTGTCAAATCTAAATGTGCATAGCTCTTCACAACTAATATTAAATTCATTATGGGTTAGTTTTCTAACAACATCAATATTAGAAGAGAAAACCACCTGCACCATCTTCACTTCTTGGATTGTCTCTCTAACAGATCTGGAAGGAGCCAAGCTAGGTACAAACAATGCGGGTGCATCTTGACGGACAGAACCATTCTTTATTCCTTTTCTGGTACTAGCTCCAACAGAAGATTCTGATGAGTGAGATCTACTCCTTTTGCTGTATTTAGGCCTGTTCAAGCAGTGAAAACAATTCCATCAAAAGAAAAAAAAACAATTTTCTACCCATATAAGTTTCATGTTCGTATCAATTAGGCTGTAACTACACCAAGAAGATAATGAAAGACGAATTACTTTGGAAGAAGAGAACCTTCTCTTAGATACAACCAATCATTCGTGTATTCATCAAACTCTGCAACAATGGCAACTACATAAGCAACTCCCCTCCTGAAAGATCTTTCCTGCATCAAAGACTTGCTATTGAAGAGCTCCGATTCCAACAACTCCAAAATGTTCTCCAATTAAACTACAAAGAATTTAAACACAGGAGTGTAGGAGGTACTTGCCTTATATACAATAATTGAACCATACAAGCCAACAAAAATGCTCGATAAAATAGCCAAAAGAACACTCCCAATGACAACAAGCGGCCAGAGAAGAAAGGCTAAACCAGCAACAGGTACGCAGGCGGTTTCAAGGAATAGACCTTCTCGAGTTATAACATCATGAAGCAACCTTTGCCAGCCCTTAAAAAGCATGTAGGGACTTTTTATCAATGCTATGATGGTATAAAGTGGGACATCCACAATCAATCCTAAGAGACCCACAACAATACAAGCTGGAATATCTACCAACCTGCAGATGGCTTGGAAAACAGAATAGTTAGAAATCCACCAGTGATATTATTTTGCACAATTTTAATGAATGGTGATACATAATTCTTGTTCCAAAATTTTTTTTTCCATACTTGGACAGTTGATTTGTCTTGTTAAATAAGTTGACTTGGGTGCCAACTCAAAAATTTAATTTGGATTGAAAGTGAAGCATGATCTTGGAGGTATAGTCCTACAAAGCAAACGGTACTTGTGCTTTGACTGTGCTGCATATTCTCACATAGAATTAGGAGTTTCTCCTTAAGGGCATCTCCAACCAAACTCCAAAAACATGAATCAGCCGAACAACAAAACTTCCGGTATTTGGTTTGGTTGCGGGTGAACAGTGAGACGCCAATATTGACGTTCATTTGCGTTATTTTTCTATCTCTACGGATTTGCTGAAGAAACTCGCGAAAGAGGAGAAAGAAGGTTACCTTCTACAAATGATGCAAAATGGAGTTCCATTGGAGATGAACCACGCCATTTTTTAGCTTCACTGTATTTTGCAGCAAAAAATGAGATTTTCGGTTGGAGATGCCCTAAGTCAATGATGTGATTTTCAAGTCATAAAGAAGGTGGACAAGCTAAATGTGGACTTTTTAAGCACATTATCCATATAAACCAAGACTAATTTCGACAAGAAGGAAAAAACTATACAATGGTTATGAGAGATGTACAAATAAGAGAAGGATTTTTCATGGGATAGCAGAGATGCAAAAGGTGAGAAAATATTGTGCGCCTAGGAAGGAATCATTCCGTTGGTATTAACAGTATAGAGCATGAAGTTTGGTTTAGTGTCAGATCTCATATATTTTTACTCCTGAAATCTCTGTTACTAGAGAAATCACCTCTTTCTTCAGCTTGTATAACCATTTAAGATTCGTATGTCACTTTTATGGGATTTTAAATCTTCCTTTCATGGCGATTATGGTTCCATAGCAACTTTTAAGACAAATGGTATCAAAGCTATTAATTTGAATGGAATTAAGTGATTTGTGTGGGCTACTACTCTGTGGCTATTACCAACTCCTACGATGGTTAAGTTCATAAGAGGTGAATCCCTGCACTGGATTGTCGTGATCAAGTGTGTTGTTGGTGTGTGACCTCATGTTATGAAAGCTTGAACAGAAGATGATTTGAAAAATGGTTGCAGAAACTTATCAGTGCTACTTAAAGAATGAGAACTTCATTAGTACAATAATAAACTTTTACCTTATAGAGTAAGTATGTTGTTCACTGGTGCTTTCCCGAAACTCTTTCAAGTAAAGTGGATAGGAATGATAGCAGAAGTCTGCAAAATCTCTAACCACCGTACAACTGCCTTTGATCGTTCCCAATGTCCCGTCCTATTTGATTTTCAAGGTCTCAAAACTGTAGATCCCTGGAAGTGAATTAAACAAGAAAACAAGGCAAACTGTTTCTTCACTTACCACAATGCTATGGAGGAACTTCTTCATTTCAGTTTTATGTCGGAAAGCTTCAAAAGTTGACACCCATGGAGTGAAAAAACCATAGCCAATCCCTACAAGAACGCTCCCAAAGATGCTAAGAGCCAACCACAGGGCAGATAATATTGGAAGAGCAATAAGAATAGCAAACTTAAGAGCTGCATTGATCCGACAAGTCCTGCATATAAAACAAACTTCAATACAGGTCTAGCAAATGATCATGAAACAAAAAACAAGTCGAAACAAATAGCATTTGGAAAGAGGATTTTACTTAAAGCGATTCAGAAGACAAAGCAGTGAGCGAAGAAATAACAAAATCATATTTTTATGTTAACTAGCACCTCAGATATGTAGAAGAGAACACCATTAAATTATGGGCAATATTCAGCAATTGTACACACAAATCTATCAAGACATCATATTTATTTCCATTTGTTAAAGGAACCACTTAATGTCAACCGGAAAGAAGCAGATGCTCAATATTGGGAATCATTAAGAGCAAAATTAATATAAAAAATCAATGCCCAAAACAAACGAAGAATTTTATACAAATTCATCTAATTGATGACCACATTTTGTAGTTGTTGAGGCAAATTTCACTCTGATTTTATTGTGAAATTTTTTACAGCCATTATTTCTACAATCAAAACATAAAGATGAAACTCTCCTTCTTTATAAGAAATAAACAAAATTAGAGCAGCCGAAAAAAGGACATCGAAATCGAAAAATAAACTCAATAAAATAAACCCCAAAACTGCCTAACTCAACCAATGTCAAAATCTGTTTAGCATGTTTTCTTAGTAGAGCAAAAATTCAACTCTACAATTTAACACAATATATGTGCAAGAAAATGCAAAGAATAGCTTCTCAAAATAGAGTTTGAAAGTGAAGGTTATATGTGTGTTTTGCCAAAACGAAAACTATAACTACCTATTACCAAAAAAATGATTGCTGCATCTAGAATATTAAAAAAAAAATAATGGTATAAAAATACCTCTGAAGACTATATAAAATGTTGACTTCTTATCATGTGTGCCCATATTATGTCCCAATTCTTAGTTTTATATTTTAATCAGGAACCTTCCTTTACTTACCAAAAGTATTATTATGGACTTAAATAGATGGGGAAAATGGCCGGACTTCCTACATATATGTCAAGAAATTGGTGCACAAACAAATACAAATGCATCTGCACGAAACCCTCATCCAAAGTGCCATGAGAAGAACAAGTAATGGTGTTATTTATAGATTTGGAAAGCCTTAATGCATATCTCATGTAATTAAAGAGATATAATTAGCATATATCATTTTTGTGGAGAGATTTTATTAGGACATATTATGTCATTTATATATTTACCTTTAATGTAATTTTTTATATAACATTGACTCTACTCTCACCTATAAATAAGATGTCAAAGGGGAAGCCTAAAGATACAACTTTCGAGCAAAAAAATCGTAAAGTTTCTCTCCTATTCTCTCCTATCTTTCTTTTTAGTTCTCTATTATTTTTAGCCAAACTTGCTAGTAAGGTCCCAA